CCACCTTGAGTTGTCTCTTGCTACTCAGGAGGCAAGATCCAAATTCTTCCCAAATCAGGGCACAGACCTCAATCTTAGGGCCACATCGACCAGCCTAAATGCATGTGAGCATTATCCAATGACTGCGAGGGTATCTACACATGTCCGTCCATGTGGAGGCCAACCTCAGCTGTTGTTCCCCGGGAGCGATCCACTTGGCTCTTTGGAAACGGGGTTTCTCACTGTGCTGGAACCTGCCAATTATTGTAGAATGGCTGCCGGCAAGCCCAAAGGATCGACCCATCTCTGCCTCCCCAGAACCACATCCTGGTGTCTTCTTATATGTGGATTTGGGGGATGGAATTCAGGTCTCTGTGCATTTAAGGCAAGCACTTTACAGGATTAGCCATTTTCGCAGCTCCCCTCCCCCACCTCCTGGCCCTTTGTTTTGAAATTATGTATGTGAGCTTTATGTGACCAGAGGCACCAGACTGTCCTTGAGCTGGACAGGTGGTTTTGAGTGGGTTGATGGGGGTGCTGGGAACCACACAAGGGTCCTTGCAAGAGTGGTAAGTGCTCTTAACCGCTGGGCCTTCTCTTCAGCCCTTCTTTGCTTTTGATGATCTATAGAGATTTTGGAGTTCTGAAATGTGTACTCTGCTTATTCAGCCAACAAATATCTGAGTCCTTTCTAGACAGTACATCAAGTGAAGTGCTAAGGGGAAATCCAGGAAAACACATACGGTCCCTGCCCTAAGGAGCTTAGGAAGACAGAAGCAAATCCTTGTTTTATTTTGTTAGGTGGCAAATGGGTGGCTTGTAACATACAAAATGTGAGCTTATGACAGAGGAGAATCAAGACACTGAGCACAATGCCCTCATCACGACATTCAAGGGGACGCATAAAGTTCCAAATGCTTTGCAAAGACGACGTATAAATGTACCACAAGTTTCTTGTTAATCTTTGTACCTCCAGCATACTTTTTTTTTTGTGTGTGTGATATATATTTTTTATTTTACAGTACCATTCAGTTCTACATATCAGCCATGGGTTCCCCTATTCTCCCCCCTCCCACGCTCTCCCCTTACCCCCAGCCCACCCCCCATTCCCACCTCCTCCAGGACAAGTCCTCCCCCGAGGACTGTGATCGACTTGGTAGACTCAGTCCAGGGAGGTCCAGTCCCTTCCTCCCAGACTGAGCCAAGTGTCCCTGCATAAGTTCCTGGTTTCAAACAGCCAACTCATGCAATGAGCACAGGACTTGGTCCCACTGCCTAGATGCCTCCCAAACTGATCAAGCCAATCAACTGTCTCACCTATTCAGAGGGCCTGATCCAGCTGGGAGCCCCTCAGCCTTTGGTTCATAGTTCATGTGTTTCCATTCATTTGGCTATTTTTTTTTCAATAATTGAGTAAAACTGAAATTTATTATACCAGCATACTTTTTAAACCACACAAAATAAAAATTTAATGTGTTTATCAGCAGAGGCCAAGGTGTGGATATACTTCATATACTGAGGATATAACATTACCTGGACCTTCAATCATGTTAAAACAAAACAAAACACCTGCAATTAGGTGTGTATTCAAGCAGTTTACAGAAATAAGAGCTCTTGGCTTTGTTTAAAATGTTGACCATTGGAGTGTGGGTGTCCTTTCAATACACTGATCTCATTTCCTTTGGGTATCCATCCAGTACTAGGATTGACCAAAATGGGGATTTAGGGTTTTTTTGTTTTTTTTTTAGGATTTTATTACTGCTGGGGGTTGTTTTTCTGTATGCTGTGACTATATCTTGTTCCCATTGGTTAATAAATAAACTGCTTCGACCTATGGCAAGGCACCTTAGAGGCAGGCGGAAAAGGAGAGAGACAGGAAAGAGAAAGGCAGAGTCTGGGGAGACGGAAGCCAGCCGCCCAAGGAGCAACATGTAATGGAACGCAGGTAAAACAGGAACACGTGGCAAAACACAGATGAATAGAAATGGGTTCATTTAAGATATAAGAACAGCTAGCAAGAGGCCTGCCATAGACCATACAGTCTGTAAATACTGTAAGCCTCTGTGTGTTTACTTGGGACCAAGCGGCTGCGGGAAACGGGTGGGAGAAATTCGTCCAGACTGCTGAGCAATGCGGGACCGGAGAAACCTTCCAGCTGCGTTTTACGGCACAAGGTCGCACTGACTTGCAATCCCAACAATGATACTGAATTTTATTTGTTCTTCCCCCGCATCCTTGCCAGCACAATGGGATTCTCTATTCAATCATGAAATACTGTCATCTGCAATACCATGTACAGGCTGGAGGACACGTCAGAGGAAACATGTCAGGTACACAATCCAGACACAGCACTGTCTCACCGATGCAGAAAAATCATTGAAGTACCTCACTGACGACCTCACAGTTGTTACCAGAGACTGGCGGGAGTAGTAATAAATTCTGGTGTTCTACCCAACAGCGGGGTGAAATTTACTAATGTGAGAGAGGACTGCAGAAGCAGTCACCATAGGGGCTGGAGAGATGGCTCAGTGGTTAAGAGCACTGACTGCTCTTCCAAAGGTCATGAGTTCAATTCCCAGCAACCACATGGTGGCTCATAACCACCTGTAATGAGATCTGGTGCCCTCTTCTGGCCTGCAGGGACACATGCAGGCAGAATGCTGTATACATAATAAATAAAATCCTTAAAAAAAAAAAAAGTAGTCACCATAATTAAGCTGAGAGTGATACATGGTATGTAACTGCCCTGAGTTGATCACTACTGGATATACACACGAATCAAAACACCACAGTAGTCGGGAGGCAGTGGTGCACGCCCAATCCCAGCACTCGGGAGGCAGAGCCAGGCGGATCTCTGTGAGTTCGAGGCCAGCCTGGTCTACAGAGCGAGATCCAGGACAGGCACCAAAACTACACAGAGAAACCCTGTCTCAAAAAAAACAGGAAAAAAAAAACCCACAAAAACAAAAACAGAGATCATCTTTCAGCCCTTTAAGAAGGAACAGAAGGCACACTGTCCAGGTCACAGGCCTGGATGCTTTTCTTTCTTCCCCATTATCATCCAGTTACTTGGCAGACACATCGCTGCTGGGATTGCTTTAGCTCTAGTTCCACTTGGCTTCTATGTGAACGCGGACGTGGTCACACTCAGACAGGAGGGAGGTAGAAGACAGTACGCGTTAGCACTCCAGCACACTGCACAGACAAGCACAAACCGAGTTTTCTCTAACTCATGAGTGACACGGAAGTTTTGCTTTCTGTGAATTTTTTCCCCCCAAGACAAGGTTTCTCTGTGTAGTTTTGGTGCCTGTCCTGGACCTTGCTCTGTAGACCAGGCTGACCTCGAACTCACAGGGATCCGCCTGGCTCTGCCTCCTGAGTGCTGGGATTAAAGGCGTGTGCCACCGCCGCCCAGCAACTTTTTCTTCAATAGAAGCAAACTTTCTCACCTGGGGATGGTGGGGCCAGCACCACTTTAACTGAATGATGCTGTTATGCAAATATCTGTCTACCTTTTTTAAGTATTTTATTTGAGGTGCTGGGAACCTGGAACATAAAAGCTATGGCACGTGGGTTAACATTTCCAGCTCTAGCATTCTGAGTGCTGTTTTAGGAGATGTCTTGCTGTTGGCTCTTTACATCACCGGGCTAATTAGCTTTCTGGAGTGTACAGGATAAGTCAACGCGGAGTCAGCATCTGAATGACTGAAACCAACTAAGGAAAGGAGATTTTATGTGAGGGCATTTGCAGACTTTCTCACTAAAATCACCTGATTGTTATTCAAACTTGCTTAACTATGGCGACCACAACCTTTAATCTAGAATCAAGTAGGCAAGACAAGGGCTGGCTTAGGACTTTGTGGGCTTCCAGTAAGTTGTTCTCTTTCAGTGGAGCTGTGTTTTGTTAAGGCTTTGAAGCCTTAAAGACACAGTTCAGTGACAGGGCTGGACTAGTACACATGAAACTCTCGCTTGGGTTTGATGCCCGGCACTGACAAAATACATAATAAATACCACCACTACCACCACCACCCAAAAACCTATCCCTGAAAAATAAGGATTCAAATTTTTCAGAGCTCCATGCAGTGATGCTTTATCAATGAGTGTCCCAGCACAGGGAAACCGAGTTCACAAGCAGAGAGGTGTTCTGTGATTATGGCATCGACATTAAAAGGAAAACCAGACTCTCAGGTGCTGCTGAGAATACCTTAAGTCCACGACAGAGCTGGGACCTCTCAAAACCTCAGTGGTCTTGGGAAACACAGTGCAGGTCACACTAGTTCCTGAGCCTAGGGTGACCCCAGGGAATTCACCAATAATTACTGGAATTCACCAGTTATTTTGAGTTCTCTTGACCGTCCAAGGTAGATTATTCCAAAAGGACTCTAGCACATCACATCTCAGCTCCTATTTAAAAAGACGAATGGGAATTTCTGACAATACTGGAAATTACATTCCTCATTACCATGCCAACGTATAACAAAGAAGATTGGAGAGATGAGAGGGTGCTGAAGAGTCTCTTGGATTCCATACTGTACTGTGGGTTTGACATCGTACGTCCTTGAAAATGAAGGGTGACTTGTGGGTCCAAGAGTGGAGAAGGTTTTTGGTTGGTAAGTAACCAACAAAGGGGGAGGAACATTAAATTTACAAGTGCCTACAATTTAACACAATTATCTGAACACTTGGAAACATGAAATACTAGGTAAGTGTAGATGCCACGCCTCCCGGAAAGCAGCAGTGAACTGATCTCACGAGGCATTTGAATTTTCCTGGCTTTCCTCCGGTCCAAAGTCTTCAGAATGAGCATTTCCATCTTCCACAGTCTGTAGCTGAGAATGTTTGGTTACTTTGTACTTGTATCAACTGTGTCTAATGCTCTTCAGTTTTTCTACATCTCTCTATTAACCCTCTAACAAAAGCCTCAGATATTAAAGCATTTCAACTGATTCACTGCAAAGCTGTGACTAGATTCCAAAGGTGACAAGCAGTCCAATTCACGACACACCTATGAGCACATGAACTATTTTGTACACTTTATTTAAAAACAAATAATACACTTAGAGCCACCAAAACTGGATATCATTATTAGCTTATCCATACCCTGAATTTACAAAAGGAACTTCTTGCACCACAAAAATTAGCATTTGGATTTACATTAATTGATATTATAACTAAAATTTAAGACACCTGAATATCAAACAATCTGGCCTAGGGCTCACCAGTTGAGGGTTTGGATGTGGAGAGAAAGGGTTATTTAGGATTCTGAACTGATGATGCCCTGAGGTTCACTCCAGTAAACTGACATTGGTAAGACGTAAAATAAATGATAGAGTTTTAGTATTACAAAGCAGTGGTTCTTCCTAAAAACAGGCATTGGATCATACAGCTGGTGGGGGCAGGGGAGAGAGATAGCGGATACTCCTTAATCTGGAATGGGGGGAAAAAGTGTGTGAAGGGGGCTGTATTAGTTTTCTCAAGAGGCCAACACAAGCCAATGAAGGGAAAGCAGGAAGAGTGGGATATGGCAGACCAAAGACTCCCCAAATCTGTATTGCCAACTCAGCAGCTCTCCACAAGACACTTCAAACCCCAGTCTCTGAGACCCTTTCAGAAAGAGCTAACGTACAACGGGAAAAATCATTCTACATTAACAAGGCACTCACTGGTTCACAGCCTGGTAAAAACCCAGGCAGACATTGAAGTTAATTTAAATTAACACCAACTTTCTAATTTGCACCAGAGGGGTGATGAGCATGTGGTCCCAGTTAAATGAAATCTAAAGCTTGACTAGCCAAGATCCAGAAAAAATCCTCAGCACCACTTCAGAAACATTGTTAGAATAAATAGCGGATCTAAAGATCTCTTTTAGTCTAACATAAAGCTCTTCAAAATTAAACACCTAACAACTGATGTACGGGTTCTGTTAAATACTTGGTCAATATGGAGTCCCTTCCACTGACATGGGGACCTAGCTGCATGCTTGATACGGGCAATTACAAAGCCTTCAGTGGCAAATGCAAAATTGATTCAAATCATTGACCTGCTAAACAGAGATATATTCATTTTCTGACCTTCCACTAACATGGACTTTAGGAAACGATACATTACATAGACATACACACGCACACGCACACACACGCACACACACTCCATCAGATACTACTTTTATACAACCAGAGTCCCAGTGTCACTCAGTACTTCAATATAAACAGACAAGTAACACAGTCATGGAGGCAACTTCTAAGCCAGTAAAGTGAATAATTACATACCTAAGAGTATGAAAATAACTTTCAAAAAATAAAGTAAGCCAAATAGAATCATACTTTTTTTTTTTTTACAGGTTAACTTTTTATTGTTGTTTTTGAGACAAGGGCTCATGTAGCCCAGGCTGGCCTTGAACTCCCTATATGGCTGAGGATAATCTTGAACTTGTGATCCTCTTGCCTCCACCTCTCAGGTGCTGGGGTTACAAGAGTGTGCCACGATGCCTGGAGCTTCAGGTAAATACAGCAACAACTTGATTCTTGGTTAAAAATATTACACATAACAACCAGGGTCCAACTCTCTCCACTCACTAAGAACACTGGTGGTGTTTTAAGTAATCCTTGAGGAAAACAAACAAACAAACAAACAAGCAAAAAACCTAAAGTTAATCCTAAATGTTTCAGTCTGCTTTGTGATGATACATCTGAGATGACAAAGCCTGAGAGAAGCACCAACACAGACTGTCAAATGGCATCAGCCGTCCTTTCTAAGGTCACAGAGATCTGTTCTACTTCAAATGGACACAGACTGTCGAATGGCATCAGCCGACCTTTCTAACGTCATAGGGATCCGTCCTACTTCAAATGGCGGCAGTGACAATGAGGTAGATATGAGAGGCCATTTAAATTCTTCTAGACTATTCTTAGGTGGAAGTTTAATTAGTTCAAGTGTTTCATCTAAAAATGATTTTTACTAGTTCAATCCTCATCATATAAGAATTTCATGACATACTCTTGTGAACAGGGAAAATATATGGAGTACTAAAAAAAAGCAAGCTTTAAATAATTATACCATCAATGAGAATCCCATCATTCTGGGGAACCAATAATTTGTTACTGAAGTTGATTTTAATTAAAAATCAGCTATTTATTCTTTACTGAATTTTCTAGGGATTCACATTCGAAACTCTTGGAAAGCATATAAGGTGCTCCAAAGAGCATAAAGATTGTGCATGAAATGTCCCCTGAAGTCCTAGAAGTTGAGCAGATACATTAAAAGACATTGACTGTCACAAATAAGGATCTTCACAGATTGGCAAACACACACACACACACACACACACACACACACACACACACACACACACACACTTCTCATGCTCTCTCTTCCCCCTCCCACCCCGACACAGATTCAATCCTCACCCTCGCTATAAGGCTGCATTTGTAGTTTTTAAAGGCACCTCACACTTTCTAGCTATTGCCTTCTCGATGACACATTTTGTCAAAAAGCTTGAATGTTCAATGGAAATAGTTCAGTACTGAGAATGGAATTTTTTCAATTCACATTTGAATAGCCAGGTTTTCTTACATTCAGATTTTAATAAACTAGAATGACAGTCTTTAAAACAAGCATGCTAGCCTATGATGAATATAGTATGTACAGTAATTTAAACACAGAACTATATATTATACTGTAAAAGCAAACAGCACAACACTCGTCATAGTCAACAACTTCGGAGTATACCACCTCCAAATGAGAACACAAACAGTAAAATGCACCCATGGTTTAGATATATATATATATAGTCTATATATTATATATATCCCTATAATATATATAATATATATTTATAAAATATACATACATTTTAGACATCTTTCAAATAAAGAATCATTATCTCCAAAAGAAATTTATAGCAAGAATACTGAAGGAATGGAAGTCAGATAAACAAATAATTTCTCACAAAGTTCATTATCAGTGATACAGTTCAATTTTCCCCTTTTAGTTACAACTAAATGATTACAAAAGCTAAATACTTTGCATAACTAATTATCTGTTTAATGGCAAAAATTGATAAATTTGTTCAATAGAAAAATACTGAAAGGTCATTCTATCACTTATTTGTCTATAGTTTGAGTAGCAAATGAGCTCATGACAGCTGTGTTTTGAGAAGGGTACTGTAAGCTCCCAGAAACGTATCCATAGCACATGAAAATAAGGCAGGGACCTAACCCACCTGCTGATTTTCATACTATTCCAAAACAGTTCACCCAGAATATTTACAATGTGGTAAATATTTATGACAGCATTTCAATGATTTTGAATCTTGAAATTGTTCATTTTGTGAATTTTCATTAGGATGGGGAAAGTCAGAGAAATGTCCATGCTACCATCTGGCTGGAAGACAGCTTTGGCTCATGTCCAGGCTGATAGCAAACAGGGCTAGTTTAGAAGAATCTCTTTCTATGTACAGTCTCCAATGGCACAAAGCACACTTCCTAAACACTTTCAACAGTTCTGTCACTTGTATTACACTCCGCCTAGCTCAGGATTATTTCCCACAGAATCAATGAGGCACAGAACCAACAGGGCAGCCTCTCCTGGTTTCCAGACTATTGTGACAAGAGGAAGACACACACTGGAGACTTTGGGAAGTCATTAAAGCAGGGACTGTGGTCAGAAATCCACTACTTCTAATGGAAATCTTCTAATAGCCTAAAAATGTCCAGTTAGAAAATCCTTTTGCTCATTTTACGAAGGATGGAAAAATTTACCCATCAGTGTAAAATTCTGTATCTGCATGGAAACATAAGCATTTAACTCAATTCACTTGTGCATATCAATTGATCTCTTAGGTCTGTTTGTTAACCAAAGCACAAAGATAAAATGTAATTGTATTAAAATACTACAGCATGTCTATAGAACAACCAGGGAAATTTAGCATGGGTCTTATAATGTTAATGAAAATTTGCCTGCACACTGCAGAATTCTAAAGGCAGATGAGCAGAAATTTTTAAAATGTCAATTATTACCCATATCACCACGAGAATGCTACTTCAAAGAATAGATCACCAGAAACGCCATGGCTGTGGCAATGGAATCATTATCGTGGGTTATAATATTTATGGGTATACTATTTTTATGGCATATACATTTTGGTGAAAAGGTGGACATTAATTTCTTTTGAACATTTATATTGGTCTCTGTGTGAAGGGCATGAAGAGTCCTGACAGTTACAGGTAGGAGGTCTGCAGGGCAGGGCACTAGGTTAGTTGGTAGCATTCTGAGACTCCCAAAAGCTGACCACACATGGGTCACAGATAAATGTGAAACCTGCCATTTTCAGGCCTGGTTTTATCTGGACACAGTACTGATTCATCGTTGTTGACATGTGTGTCCCTGTGAAACAATGGGGTGGGGAGAGAGAACCTCACAGGCATCACTGTCTCCCGTCTCGGTCTCTGGGAAGTCCTTAGCGACACCAGGAGAGGACTTCCGGGGTGCACTGCTTCATTAAGCAGGGACGTGAAAGCAGCTGCCTGAGGTGACCACTCGCTTTGGACTATACAACATGGGAATTATGATTTTAACTGTTTATGGTAGGTGTCAGAAACCATGAATGTGAAAGGCAGGGAAGAAACATCGAGGATTATCTGAACCAATTATATGGGTGTTGGGAAATGGGTAATAAACAGCTTTCTCCCTTTTCAGTCATTAGGAAGTAAATTTCATCAATATGAAATAATCACTCTAATGCTATAAATACCACACAAATGAGGCGAATTTTTAAACAAATTATTATAGAGATATTCCCTGTTCGCCCTTAAAAATAAACAGAATCTCAAACCTGGAGAAGTTAAAAACCTTTAGTAAAAGCAGGCTCTGTTAACTCATGTTCATAATGGATGTTTGACAGCTAAACTTTAGAATGGTACCACATCTACTTTCAAAGTTGTAATGCAATATAGAGATCTGTTTGCAAACTAAGTATTGGTTTAGCATTTCTGAGTAATATACTTAACATGGTATTGCGTCTTTTCCTGCTGCTAGGTGAAGTGCTCTGCCATGCTTCGTGAGAGCAGCAGGAAGGATAGCTCTGTTCGGAACTCATCTGAACACTGTCTGGTCATTCTCCATCACGGGTTAGCAGAGCAGATACAGGCTAGGTTGACTACCTAATATGTTGAGCAGACGTCTCAGGGTAGAGTGTGTCTAAGTTCCCTCCACTCATTCCCAGCCATCCAACTCTAGTGATCCATTACAGCATGCCCTGTTTATCAGGAAGGGAGACGCTAAACCTGTTTTCGCTCAGGCCTGCCTAGCGAACGAGAACAACTTCAGAAATAAAAGTGCCTCTTTAGGGGGAAATTTGAAAGTTTTCAGGCTCACAGATTCAGCTGAGCTTGCAGCAACCTGAACAAACCTTAATTTTAGAAAACAGTCCGCAGATTGCAAAACTATACTTTAACAAATGTTCTCTGTGCTCCTTCAGCCGAACAAGAGGGCAGGGTGAGCTGATTCCTGCCCTGGTCTTCTGTGTCTCTGTTGTGCAGTTGACTTTTAATAAAGAGCTAGAAGGTGAAGCTGATGCGTCACATCATACAAAGACCTTGGCCAGTGCATCGGCTCCAGCACTGGCTATATAGCATTTGGAAGGGTGGAATGCTACATCGTGGATTGATTCTTCAAATTTTTTCCGATGAGCTGTGAACTCTTGGATACATGTCTTACTTTCTAAATTCCATAAGCGTATTGAACAGTCATGACCTATTCCAAAAGAAAAGAGATTGAGAGGAACAATTGTATCAACATGAGGATGGACAAGGACAGGTAAGGGACCCACAGCGAATGTACTTACTTCCAGACATCAAGTACAGGCCGTTTGGATCAACCGCTAAACTTGTAACAGCTTCTAGGTGGGCGACCATCGAGTGGATCAGTTTGCCTTTGGAGAAAGACATTGTTATCTTTACTGACGGCTCTCTTCAGTTTGATCATATGCCAACCTCCGTGCTACACTAGTGTCCCTAGACATCACTGTGCACTTCTCGGATCAACTTTTTCCACCAGTTCAAATAACCTATCTCCCCTTCTTGCCTCTGGTCATGTTAATAATAAAAAATAAAAACAGCTTCAGTTTCAGATGAGACTGTCTTTTAAGTCACAATAAGTTCAGTGAGTTTTACAAGTTCACTAATTACTAGTTAGACATCACTAAATTACATGGGCTTATAAGGACAGACAGTTCAAATTCAAAGACACAAAGGAAAAGAAAGAAAACATGGCCAGAGTTTTGGTGGAAACAATATACAGAAAGGAATTTGAAAAATTAAAGTGCTAGCAACTAAGCATGACCACAAGTGACCATACTGAAAGGGCAGATAGCCCGAGAAACATGGCTGCTCGCACAAAGTCCTTCCCCCCCACTTCAGCCCTGTGCACTTCCTCAGACTGGTGAAAGGCAGCCCGCTGAAAACCAGGAACACCCCATCCCCAATCCAGTCAGGTCTCAAATTTTAGTACAACAAGAAAAGACCGGCCTGTGGAAAAACACACAAAACAAATGACCTGAGGGTTTTCATACACAACGCTGAATCAAGCTATTTAATATTGAACAACAGAATGCAGCTTTTGCAATTTGAAACAACACAACGACCAGCCTCTGCTTCCAGCATGTTTCTATTAATACTCCTCATGGATTGCAACAGATCATTTTTATTGGTACTTAGGTTTGTGGGCTTAGAATATGCTATCTGCTTACTGTTAAACAAAATAAAAAGGTCATTCCATATTGTATAATATAGCCGTAGCAGATTCGAATGAAATGAAGAGAAGTGAGTGGAGAAAGTGTTTCAGTGCTTATTCCTGACTACAAAGTGCCATCAGACACCATAATTAGCTTACTTTTAGTAAGTGGCTGGTTTTGCTTCAGCACGGCTCGGTCCTTAGTAAGCTCTTACCTGTGTTGTTGTCATAGAATTTGATGTGCCTATCCTCGTGAGCAGTGATGCTGATCGGGAGAGTGGGATGGCTGATGACTCTGTTGATTTGGCAGGAAGAATTGGCTGCTAAAAAGGAAAATTAAAAAATCAATACAAATTAGTCAAAGTAATTTTTTTTTCACAGAAAGGAGATATGAATACCCAAACAGACAGGGAAAAATAAACAATGCGACTTTAGTCTGGCTGTGGTTCAGTTATTCTCCCATGATTTCCCAGCCTCAGTGTTATAAAATGAGAGCTGCCTAGGCTAAACCACACTGGCACATCGACAGGTGATTAAAAGTCGTCACAAGTTCCTTTCCCCCCGCCTGCCACTCAAGGATGCTGCCATCTAAGACTTGGCCTAGAGACACTGAGGACATCCAAGTCTACACTTTTGTGATGTTTGCTACCTTAACAGAGTCCTATCAGCTGCGCGTGGTGACCCACACCTTTAATCCCAGCACTGGGGAGGCAGAGCCAGGTGGATCTCTGTGAGTTCAAGATCGGCCTGCCTCATCTACATAGTGAGTTTCAGGCCAGCCAGAGATTCACAGTGAGAGCCTGTCTCAAAACAAAAACAAACACCACCGATATACACATAATCTTCCAAGTTAGACCTCAGGTCCTTCCAACATGGAGCTCTTTCCATGCAGCTGTGATCTAAAGATAAACACGAAAGGAGGCTTCGGTCGTCCTGGCTCCTCTTTGCACCATAACAGAAAAGACCATCATCTTACTGTCCACCAGATTTTGAGTTTTTAAGGAGCATACTAATAATTGTTGTATACTATTTAAGAGTTTTCGAAGAGATTAATTACTATATTCAGTTTGTTATTGCAATATACAACAGAAAATGTCACATGGCTATGTGGAATAAGTTCTTTGGGTGCAGTTTTTCTGTTGTTTGTTTTGGTTTGGTTGCTTAGACCGTGCTGAAGCTTAAAACAAGAAAAGTTTTTTTTTAAAGTAAGTGTGTTCTCAGGTTTGGGCAATAGAACATTTTATAATTTAAGCATTCTTCATTGTGACTCAGGCAGCTATACTTTTGATTAAGTTTAAAAATGAATAAAGAGACTTTTAAAAAGTAGTATACATACTTGAATCTAGATTGGATTCTAAAGTGAGAATTCGCTGTTGTGTTTCCATATTAAAGATGCTCGTATATCCTTTGCTGAATGATGCTACCATATGGCTCGGGTCACTGCTCACTAGGTCCACCGAGGCAGGGATTCCCAGTTCTGAGTGTCAGAAATATTCAAAGAGAATGACAGTTAAAAGGTCTACTTGAGAAAGTACTCAAAAATGCAAAACAAACAAACAAACAAACAAACAAAAAAAGTATGATTCTCTTAAGTAAATCAGGCTTAACACTGGAATAAGTTATTTTATAACCATTCAGGGCAGGGTATTTCTTTTGTAACTTTTAGCCTTAGTCTATTTTACTATCCTTACCTGTTGAATGTTTTCTACCCATTATTCTGCTAATCCACTCATAGAATCCCAACTTATTTAGAAAGAAAATAAGAGTGAGGTAATCCAGACTCAGAAGGACAAACCTGGTATGTACTCACTCATAAGTGGATTCTAGATATAAAGCAAAGGACAATCAGACTGCAACCCACAGATCCAGGGGGGCTACCTAGCAGGGGGGACCCTAGGATGACTGTGGCTTATAATAAATTTTGGTTTTGCCCAATCACTGGGCAAGCCTCAGTGAAACATTTCACTATTAGGATAAGAATTTGTACCGTATCAAGCTGATGAAAGGATATACTGGCTATACTTTCAGGAGGGGAGGCTAAAATCTTTTTAGAGTATGGATTAGCTTATAGAAAAATGTCTGCAGTAAATCACAGTGAATAGGAAGATAAATAGGATTCTCACTTACACAACTTAAGTAAAACATAGCTCCCTGAACAGATAAAGATAGGTTTCTTCTGTATCCCAGAATCTAATCAATATTTATATGTATAATTCAGCTATTATTTGGTTTAAAAGAGCTTATTGGAAAATGTTATCATATTGACTATTTTCTACACAGAAAATATTTTCCAGTTTCAAATAACTCTGGACTTTTGAATTACAACCTGTTTTTATGTTCAAGCTATCTGTGTATTATTTCCCCTGAAGTTGTACGTGTTTTTACATTAAAAAAAAAAACAAACGGACAAATACTATAGAATTGTATTACATGAAATACATAGAATATACAAATTCACAAAGACAGAAAGATTAGACGTTATCTCAAGATGGGGGAGAAAGGAATATAGAGCAATGATTTCCTAAATACAGAATTTCTGTTCTGTGTCATGGAAAAACCCCACAGACAGACAGTAGTATCAGGACATAATATCATGAATGTAATAAATCAATACAATTAATGTAATTAATGAATATCATAGTTATTGAATAAATACTGCAAATATAATCAACGAATACCACAAATGTAATTAATATCATGAGTGTAATTAATGAATATCATGAGTGTAATTAACATCTTGAATGTAATTCATGCCAAAAAAAGAAAATGAAAACGAGCTTCCACTTCCATTTCAGGTACAGAGTGAGACAGTGGGAACTCCATCCTGAAGCACAGAAAACAGTAACAAATCCACCTAGGGCTGGAGTGCAGCTCGGGAACACCACACTTGCCTGCGTGGCATTAAGTCTTCAAAGTCTAAGTGCACGCTATGACCTTGCTGAAGAATAAAGGTGTTCTGTGGTCTGGAGCATAACTCAAAGGTAGAGTATCTGTCTAGCGTGCAAATCACCGGACAAAAAAAGTAGGACAGGGACTAAACCCGGAACTCATTTGTACCAAAGGCAGAATGAGTAAAGCCACTGTGGTAGCACACTCCCCATATCCCAGTACTCGGAAGTAGAGGCCCAAGGACTGTGAATTTGAGGACAGCCTGGACAACAAATTCAAGGTGAACCTGGGCTACACAGCAATGCAGTGCCACAAGAAAACAAACAAACAGAATGTTGAATATAAAAATAAAATTATCTGCTTCATTTGGTTCAACACCTAACTAAAGCAAGGTAATAATTCAAAATGGTAGAGCAGAAGATCTAGGAACAGCCAGCAAGTGAAAAGTAAGGAACAGTGGCCAAGAATTCAACACCGAAGCAGAAGTGGCCACTACCACGTGCCCACAGGAAGGCCAGAATGGAGAAGAAAGACGCATCAGGTGAGTGAGGACGCAGAGCAGACGGCCCTCCTCACACATGCTGTAGCCCGGGCTATAGAGTGCCACAAGCACTACGGGACAAAGCTGGTTATTTCATGTAAGGTACTTAACAAAACACCCATCCTAAAACCCAGAAATTCTACTGAAAGGTCTTTACTACCCATGATGAAAACTTATGAATGTCCATGATAAATTATTCCTAAAAGCCCCACACTGGACCAACCTGAGTAAATACCAAGAGGTAAATGAATAAATCATGGAAATTATGAATGTTTATAACAACTTCACTCCTAACAGCCTCGGTGTCTCTCAGGAGACACAGGAATAGACAAACTGTAGCTTAATGTAATGCTCTTACGTAATAAAGGGAATAAACTGACACTGAACTGCACCAACATTACCGTAGGTGAAAAGCCAGACACCAAGATTACATGCGAAACCGTTACTTTATCACAGTTCAGAATACACAAAACTAATGATGAAAGTCATCTCCACAACAGCTCCCACTGGCTGGGAATATGTGGCGGGATTGCCTAAAGTCACAGAGCAGCTGAGGGACGGGAAGAAATGGTCCAGCTCCAGACCTATACCAGCTCCAGGATGGCATTTGTTCACCAGCTGCATCAGGACATCCCTAACATCTGTAATCTTCACTGAAAATAAATTAGGTCTCAGTTTTTAAAATTTAAACCCCATTTTCTTTCTCATCAAATGCTGTTTTTAAGAATTATACATACATCGAAATGTCAAACGATAATGTTGCTATGTTAAAAAACAAACTTAGAAATGTATATAGTCATTGATTCGTTCGCCTTTTCAGAGTAGGATACTTTATAGACGATCTGGAAAGGTTTAATTTTAGGGACTGTACCTTGGTTATCATTGAACACACTCAGTGCCGGAGCGACCTCCGTCGTACTCCATAAGCGGAGAGTGCCATCTGCTGAGCAGGACAACAGCCGCTGGTGTGCGGCACTGTAGGCCAGCCCCCACACTGCATCTGTGTGGCCCAACAGAGGGCCTCTCAGAACAGAAGGATCTGTGTAAAACAAGAAAGTGCAAAACCAGGAAGAAAAACCGTGAAGGCATTTAGGTTCCACCGCAGAACATAAACCAGAGCACCCGAAAACAGTATAATACAATCTTCCTAGTTTCATCAGCCTTCTGAAATGCTGTTGCAATTACGAATAGTTTTGGAACTATACAAACAGAGTTTGAAAATTCTAAATCAGAATTAAGAAGCACAAGTTTGCTTTCTTAAAAAAGCTCTATTTTAATGTTTATTCTATGTTTACTTTAGTTTGGTAGTGAAATTAAAATGGGGGAGGGAGGACAGACAGACAGCCTGGGTTTATTCTGGAACTCTACCAGGCTGATTTAAACCCACAATTCTCTTCTTCTCCCACCAAGTTCAGGGATCACAGACCTATACCACTAAACCTAGCCAGAAGGCCATTCTTTAACCTTTGAGGCCCTTTATAATAAATATTTTGAAGGCATGGACTGTAAAACTAATTAGCTTCTTCTATTTCCTTCCAATAACTGAGCAAGGGAATAATGCCCGCATTCAGAGTCATTTGTCAAAAACAGTACTGAAATATGACTACAGATGACTTGTAATGTTTCCAGTAAGGGACAGATGTCTAACATGAAGATAGCAAGCATCAACCAAAATTATTTCTGTCCAGGAGGACTGCAGAGGTGAACTCTTCCTCAAGAACAGCATACTTTTACCTTTAGCATTAGCTATTTACAGGAGTCCTTCTGAATGAAATAAAGACATGCTTCTCTTTACTAGCTTTTTAAATATATAATTTTACCCTTACTATACACCGTGAAAAGAATATAAAAAGACAACGCTGTTTCAGAACTGTGGTAAAGCCCATACCGTAAGAGTCATAGGGGTCGATGTTGGGATTGGTGGTGTTCCAGCCCTGAATCAGTCCGTCCGTACCACCGCTGTAGCACTGCTCACCATTGCTGCTCATGACTACACACAGCACTGGACCTCTGGGACATCAAGTCAATCAACAGCTGTTAAGTAAACTGCTAGTCTCAAACAGTAATTCTTCAATGTAACTTGTCAAAATTTAGAATGTTTAATTGCTCAAACGCCTTTCTACTTTCCAGCTTTTAACAATGATTAAAAACACTAGTGAAGTACTATTCATTTTTCTTTCTTTGCCAAACCAAAGGCTGGTAAATTATGGCCTTGAGGCCAAATTCATCCAGTAGTCCTAGTACAGTCCTCAAGCTATGAATGCTTTTTACATTTTTAAAGGTTAAAATGGCAGCACACACAGCAACAACAAAACCAAGAATGTAACATGATTAAGACCCTTAGTTCAATCCCCAACAAAAAACAAACCAAAAGCCAAGAGGACCCAAAAAAAAAAAAAAAAAAAAAAATTTAAGCAAGGAAGGAAAAACCAAAAAAAAAAAAAAAAAAAAAAATTCAACAGAGAGCATATGGTCTGCTAAACCTGAAAAATATTTACTTTATCATCCTTTACATTTTGTCAATTTCTATGATTAAATCAAGTGAAGACATGCCTCTTATACATAAGTGAAAATTAAGAAAATACTTAATTACTATAGAAAAGTTACTGGTTAAAAATACAATCGACGAGCCGGGTGGTGGTGGCGCACGCCTTTAATCCCAGCACTCGGGAGGCAGAGGCAGTTGGAGCTATGTGAGTTCAAGGTCAGCCTGGGCTACAAAGCAAGATCCAGGACAGGCTCCAAAGCTACACAGAGAAACCTTGTCTCCAAAAACCCAAAAAAAATAAGAAAAAGATGTTGGCTTAAAATAAAGAACAGTCACATACTTACTTATGAGCCCTGAACGTATAGATAGGCTCCACGTCAAGAGAAGTACTCCTAAAGCAGAGAAAGATGATGACTGTTAGCATCCCACATTTCAGTCAGGAACAGTATGAACTAAGTCATAGTGCTGTGGTCAGAAATAGACTCCATGGTATAATATCCTCAGCCTCAAGATACAGAGGCTCATCTAATCCCAATCGTACCTTCACAGCATGGACAAACTCCCACCTTAGCAGTGGCACCTTGTTACACAGCCTCCTCACCCAGTTACAATTAGTCCAATAATGGTACCTGACCTTCTCACACTGCTACAACTTATCTACTAATGTTACATGGCCTCATTACACTGTTACAATTCATCCAATGTTACAGGGCCTCCTCACACTGTTACAGTAAGTCCACTAATGTTACAGGGCCTCCTCACACTGTTACAGTAAGTCCACTAATGTTACAGGGCCTCCTCACACAGTTACAATATGTCCACTAATGTTATAGGGCCTCCTCACACTGTTACAGTATGTCCACTAATGTTACAGGGCCTCCTCACACAGTTACA